GAAATGGCACATCTAACTTTGAGAACAGATGTCTCAGTTATCTCTTCCGCCACTTTGATATGGACCCAAATAACCACCTTCTAACCCTCTAACTTAAAACATACCACTACATTTCTCATTTATTGCACGCAGGACTGTTATTTGGGCACGTAAGAAAAAAGGGTTTTGGAGAAAAGGAGGCCAACTGTACACCATACATACCGTCCGAGGCCTGCCACACAGTGTACGGCAATGCAGCAGCCGGGTTGCTCTCGAAATTTGGTGTTGAGCAACTTGAGCCAGTTATCCACGATCTGGGTGGGAGGAGGGGCACCATCATCAAAAGGCCAGTCCTAAAGCAGAAAACATAAGTCATCATCAAATAACCTAGTTGAACAGCACAAACATCCAGTAAGAGGCTGCCGCAAAAATGTATGTCAACACTTACCAAGACCTGTATCCCCTCTTTCTCTACTGGAGCCTTATCATAGGTGGCATCACAAACTCTAACCAGAGTGTTCACCTCAAATTTTTTCAGTTCCTGGCAGAAAAAGTGAAAGGGTGCATTTGAGACAGAGCCCTGGGAATCTGATAAACAGCAATAACATAAACGTAAGCATACCTCAGTGAACTTGTTAAGTGTGGCATTGGTGGGGTTGTGGGTGATGAGGAACCTCATGCACTCGTAGACAATCTCAACTGCAGCGGGGCGGTTCATGTTGGCGAGACGGCTTTAAAAAAACAATTACAATACAAAACTCTTACAAAACAAAAGCGACTTTTGGCTCAGAAGTCAGCGAAAAAAAAGAAAAGAAAACCCTCAAAAAATTGCTAGGAAACGTATGTTTTCATGTAGGGTAGAATAAATAAAAATGACAACACGTGGAGGGGGGTCGCTCAGGAGGACAACAGGTATTCACTATGGGATGATGTACACAGAAGGATAACACAAAAGAAAAGAAAAAAAAACAAACAAACTAGTCCACAATACTTTGGGATGTTTAAAAAAAAAAAAAAAAAATACAAAACCAAAAAAAGTTAACAAAAAAATAATAACACAGAAGAAGATGAGGAGACTATCCAGGAGTCATCCAATCAGTTTACCCCATTCAGGAGAGCTGTTTGTGATTGGCTGTTCAAGAAGAAAGTAGAAAGCAAAGGTTTTTCGTATCGGTTGGGACAGGGCAGAGCAATCAGGCCAAGGGCTACGCAATATCCCAGAGGGCCTTTGGGAAAAGTCAGCAGTTCCTAGTGCGCTGGCAGTCAGGGGGGTTTCTGGGTAGCGTAGTCCCTCGGGGGGCGGCCGATTCACTTCTCCACAGAGGTGAGGTGCTGTGCCTGGCAGAACTCTCCGCTCACACACGCCATATAGGTACGGCTCAAGTCAACACAGAAACCCTGTGAAGAGAACACAGAAAGGGAGACTTAAATGTAACGAAATCGCACACAAACAGCACCCATTTATTTCAAACAGATAACCAGTGTCTGCACAAGCAGGAGGCCACCGATTCAGGTCGTTACAGAATATGATACTTGTTAAATTTGCACATCTGCAGCTGATTAATAGTAATAACCACAATACATTTTGCATATCATGATTATATTTGACTATTAGTCCGGAGATTAAATATACCACATATGTTGACTTTTGAGCACTGGGTGGACAACAGTACAGATTAAAGGAGCCTTTAATAAACCAGATATAAATCTGGAATTTCAGTTTATACAAGATTATTTTTCCTCCCCATCAAACAGGTTTTCTATAATAACTAGGGATATATGACTACATTAAACAAGTGATTTTAATTAACAACAAAC